CTAGTTTAGATAAATTTGAACCACCGAAAAAAATAGTGTGATGTACTGCAAAGTCTCCTTATTGTGGATAATGAAAGAGATCTCATATTGTTGTCAATGCACATGATTCGCGTCATCGACTTAACTGAGCAGGTTAAACTGCTATATTTGTTGTCGAATGATTGCTATGATTGATTGCGTCTGTAAAAGATTAAGACCTTTCAACGTGAGTTGCCAACATCGTGCCCACCTTGCATTTAAAGGCTTTGATTTATCATGATACTGGCCCCAATGCAAGTGAATACAAATGAATTTTATCTTCTGCTAACTTCGTGTGTGGTAAATCGCAGAGAACTTTTCCCTCAACCTTCTTATCTTCATATTGCACCCAGAGAAGGCATACTGACATTCGCAAATACCGAAGTAACTTTTGCTAATTATATTTATCTGCAAACAGTTGATTCCTGTTTTGTAACATCGAACTATGCGTCGAATGCTCCCAGCTGGAACTCCGCCTCATTTTAACAAAAGAAAGAGCAGGAATTGCAGAAATACAAGCTTCAGGCCAGCTCACAAGATCTTCATTAGTCGACTGTTTGATGGAAGTGTAGCATGTCAGTCGCTCGCGATTTTCAAAAACAATTGAGTAAAGGTTGGATGAGAAAAATCTGTTGTGGTCAACGATGAGACGATGCTCATTCTCTATCGGTCAAAGTATAGAATGCCCAAACTTTCTTCCGCCCACCAAAGAATTAAGAGGAGATTTTTACGAAACTTCGTCTATTATTTGTTTTACATTCCGTACATTTTTTAGACAATAATGACACAGTGTAAACTATTGGAGTGATTCAAACTGGTGTATAACACATGTAAATCAGGACATCATCAATGATCTGGGTAATATTGAGTGATATCGTTGACGATATGCTAGCAGTCAATGATATTACCAGATGTCCGACTGAAGCATCGCTCAGCAAGATATTCGCAAATTCCCTCTGTGTTGGTGAAGGCTTCGCAAAATTATGCACGGAGAGTGAAATATTTTTTATAATTAGCACTGATTTGTAAAGTAGTGGAAGTTTCAAATGACAATTTATCACACTGTTTCCTAAATTTCGCTATCACCGACTATTGTTTAATGGGTAAAACGCTTGAAATCAACAATCTTAAACATTTCTGAAGCATTAGAACATTTATTATTCTCCTCTGCAGTTCTCATCTGAACAATATAATCATTAATAATTCAATGCAACACACAGCGATTCGAAATAATTTACGTACAACAAAAATACCCTAGATTAAAGCATAAAATTCTATTTATCATGTTTTGTACCTTTGGGATGGTCTTGCTTCTTCTTCTCAATATGATCTGACTGCAACAATGCCATACAACCAATAAACCCAATAAGAATTAAGTTTCTCAAACCTTCTTCAAGGGCTTGCCCTCGGCAAATCCTGTATTTCGTGCCATAGCTTCACGTGCCTTTTCATAAGAGGCGCTCACCTAAAATTCAAGCTGCAATGAGCCCTGAGATCAGGGTAAGATTCACCTTTCCACTGGGGTACTTCTCTTTCGCAGCATCTGTAGCACCAGGCTGTTTCACCTGAGAATGCAAAGAAAAATAGAATGAGGAGGTGTAAAACCTGATATGTAGAGAAATAAAATTCGCAAATCTTTTATGCAAAAATGCACACTAATATGGGTAAACTAACGTTTTGATGAGCATTTGCAGCTTTTTCGTCCGCCTTTTTGAGAATTCTTGATGCCTCACGCT